AGAAGGTATTAAATAAATTTGCCTGCTCTTTGTCCCCAGTCACCCACTCTAGATTATTTTGTAAAGGGCCTACATGCTCGGACCGGACATTTTTACTATTAATATATTTGAAGAATTTTTTGGGGTTGATCCTGCTATCTTTTGCAATCTGTTGTTTGTTTTCAATTTTTGCGGCCTCTATTTCCTTTGCATATTCTGTTATATTCTTTGTAATGTTTAAACGATGATAGCATTCCTTCATTTTATATTTAATAAAAGCTCTTTTCTTATTATCTATAGCTTTTTTTATCTTTGGCCATAAGCCACATAGGTTTGATTTTTAGCCTTTTAAACTTGTTGCCCGTGGGAATATATTTTGCAATTTGTGCACATAGTCTTTTTGAAGAACTCTCATTTTTGTGTTGTGTTCATTGATGCCACTATTCCCTCCCAGTCTAAGTCTTGGAGATCAGCTCCCAACCTTGGAACATTAGCTCTCTTAAAATTGAGTGTTTTTATATTTCCCGTATGTGCTCACAGGTCTAGAAGACACAGACTAGCAGGCACAAGAAGAGCAGTCTGTGGGATTATGATGATTTCATCACTCACTGACACAAAATGTGATGGATGGCTGGCTGGGTCACACTCACACAGACACGAGACCTCAGAGTCAGAGATTACCTTCCTCCTCAGGTGCAGCTCCACCTCTGCTGATGAATTGGAAGAGAATGGCTGGAACTGCACATTGATCAGCAGCCGCCAACCAGCTTGCAATAAGGCACTGAGTCTGAGAGGAACACTGGAAGGTGTAGCTCAGCTGCTATACTGCTACACTGGCCCCAGACATCTTCCTCTGTCCTTTCTTCCTCCCCCCAGCTGAATGATCATTCATGACATGGCAACATCCCACACAGAGCTGCTCCCAGACGCACCTAGGTGGCAGTGCACCCTAGACGTTTGCCTAATGGAAGTTCCAGCCCTGCCTGTAGGGTCAAGCTTCATTCTTATAATGCTTGCATTGCTTTTTACATAGAAAATTGCAGTAAGTGCCTTCACCACCAGGTACACATTTTCTATATGTAGTGGTAACGCCTTAATGGCATGCTGTTTGTAACTTCTATTAACTGCAATAAAGATTTATTGAAAAGAGAAGAGTTTTTCAGCTTAAATATGGTATTTTAGCTTTGGAGCTCAGGCTTAAATAATTTACAAGGTTGGTCTATACTACTGGGTTACTAGCTTCAGTCTGTTGCCAAAAGCTTTAAATAATAATGTTGTATTCTGGATTAGCCAGACGGATAATGTACAATACTTTAGTTTCAGATCATGCAAGACAAATTTGGCTTTGTCTTAAAAACTAATTTGTAAAGTGTCTAGTCTTGATGTTTCTGGCCAAGTGAAAGCCTTGCCACAATTTCAGCAATCTTAATAAAATAGAAAGTTGAAAGAGTTGTTTGCAAATATACACTTGCTATCCAATTTATAGCTATACTGAGAACTGTGATTTAAATATCGGAACAGTAATTTCTAGATCAAAGCATTCATCTGTAAATTATTTAAGTAAGCTGTCATCCTTCTATAAAGCCCTACTATTGTCTTCAGACAATCAAATACCAGTACTAACTTTTCTTTATGTACTCCTGTAACACTTTTTTTTTTTTTTTATTCTATAGATACATAAAAGCACCTAAGGCTTAGCATATGGACCATTTAGGAAAACCGGCTAACAGAGTAAGAATTCTGTTTCTTTATACTACATGTTTTGGTGAAGGGTATTGTATATGCAGTACTTTGGGAATGCTGTTATTTTTTGCAAAATTTACTTGTGAAGAGTCATTTCTACTGTTTAAGTGTTAGTATTTCATAACATGTACAGTATGTGTGATTTTATGGAGTATAACTACAGTATATGTCTTAGGTTTTGGAGAAAAAGGATAATATTACCATTATGAAAATAAATCAGGTGGGGTTACATCTGTAGCATGCACATTTCACACAATACCATCTCTTAAAACTGAACTCTGTGATTAAATAAAAATACCCTTGCAGTGGGGCTTTGTTTGGTCTAGGAGGTAGAAGAATATGCTATAATCTATTTGTAACCAGTGTTCCTGCATTGTATGTCAGAGCCTGCAAGAGTGCCCTAGAGAAGAGGCTTTAGGACACCAATCACACAGCATGGAGGACGCCTGCTGGAGTGAGGAATATGGCAAACTTTACCACCTATTCAACTACACCTAGACTTAACAAGAATTTAACCCATGCACTATGGATAGGCCCAACTGTAAGTGTATATTTTATAGTGACAAGACAGGCTTTAAAGATGTACAATGAATAAAGCATATCACTACTCAGCCATAAGTCATTCCATGTTTGCTGATGCAACTTTTGTTTACCTTTTGATATTGCTCCTCAGCATTCTTTTAATGAGGTCCCTGCATTTTTATATATGCTAGGCCCAAGGCATTAGGAAGACTGAATTCTTAGGCTAACCTTTTTTTACAAGGGAAAAGCTTACTTGGTAAAATTAAAATGAAAATTGGTAAAATTAATTATATGTGAAATCATATAAAAAATGTGAATACATATATTGTGACTAGATATAGGAAAATATTATAAACAATTATATATATTGTGAATAAATAAAGTGCAAAGTCCCAATCAGTGTATAAATCTTCAATAAACTGTGAATCAACCAGTGACCACTGAAAAATAAATCCTCCACCAGTTATTGTGCGTGCTCACCTCCAGCCATAAAGGGTCATACACGCTTTAAATGCATATGCTCAGCTATGGTATCCTTGCATTTCCTTTCAGTACTGTGTCAGGGAAATCCTCTTAAATGGATGAAACACCAGCTATGGTGATGGTCATGCACACTCCAAATAAATGCAGCCAACAGTAATACCTTAGATGTACCCTCTGTGATGCACCAAAAGACTCCTCTCACATGGGCCACACATTGAAGAACAAATCACAGGGGTCTTCCCATAGTGCAGTATGTTTATTAAAATAAAAATGCAGAGTGCTTACTCACATTAAAAAACGGGTCCACAGACCCGTACAGGCATGTAGTGAAAAATAGCAGAGATGGGTGTACCAAGATGGCGACTGCCGTCTGTACCGTAAATCCATACAGTCCATCTGTAAATGAGATCACCACACTAGATGATGTCATCATGACAATATGATTCAAGGTGTAGATGAATGGCTTAATTTACCACAAACCATTAATGGGTCAGTACATAAGACAGCAAGGTTTCCTTCATCCTTACCTATTGTAACTGACCATCTCTGATCCTGTTTGAATAAATCCAAAAGCACAAGAGAGTAAATGAAATTGGTGAAAGCAGTACCTAAAGGAATATGCTATCCTGTAGTGTTACTTTAGCATTTTTTTTTTTTTGGTGGGCATCATTATTTGTGTGGTCCTACGCTAGTATGATCTCTATGCCTTTCAGTTTTCACATATGAATGTATAAATAGTATGTGTGTGTACAAATAGATTATATAGTTTTAATACACAAACACGCGTGTACGCACACACACAACTATTTTACTGCTGTCATAAATTATCTAAATGATAGCCTGTAGTTATGATCAGTTAATACATATGTCGTTGAATTTTGCACACCTAGAATATCATTAAATGTGAACTAATCCTTTTTTATAATTGTAATAAAAGTGACCTTGACATAATAATGTAATCATTTAACCTGTTGTCATTTAAAAGGCCTGCAGTTTTAGTCTGTACACAACAACACTAGTAGGGTTAATTAGAAATGACAGTTTGACAAAAGGAGCATCAAGGTGTGAAAGGCGTATTGCTATAGGGTAGCTTTCTGTATAAAGATGACCTAAAATGGAAGTTCCAAACTGCGACCTTTGCTGTGTAGTTCAGAACAGCTGGAGCTTCAGGCACGACTGTCAATTGTGCATTGTCCCTAAAACTGACACATTGTATTTAACAATGCTTGACTTACAAGATCACAGGAATACACTGTATGACTTTGTCTTTATTTCATGCAGGCTGTTGGAAAGTCTGTCTAGCCTTCAAGAAATCACACGCCCCCATTGTTAGAGCTTATTTTACCTTAACAGCATAGCCACAGTTCTAAGTGGTTTTAAAAAGAATAATGTCATTAAGTAAAGTCCTCAGTTAAATTAGCATTGAAAATTACTAGATTTAGTTAGATAATCTAATTCTCCCAAGTGACCAGACATCCTTTAGCCTGACATATAATTTGTATTTAACAAAAAATGCATTTCCTATTAAAACGTGGTAGAACCTTAAAAATACCTTTGTTTTTCTTTACTAGAGCATACTGATTTTAAAGATATTACTAATTGCACAAAAAATATTACCTAATGTAAAAAGACTGCATGCAAATTGAAATACCTGGGTATCACGTGGCTGACCACTGACAGTGGGGAATGCTGGGGTCACTAACACAATGTAAGAGGACAATAGGGAACACAGGAGGTCTGGCTGATAGAGGGTGGAGCCATTGGTCAAACCCTGAGCAACCTACATTCTTGCCTTTTAAGACAGAGCTCCCTTTGTGATTGGCTTCAACAATGGAGGAAGCAGGAAGATGGCAATCACACACAAAGGGAAAGACCTGGCACTTAAGGGATAAATTCACCCTTTTAGACAAAAATAATAAATGCACATTTTTTGCAGGTAAAAAAATGTGCATTTATTTTTGTCTACAGGAGACGGGAAAGAATTGCACCAGTGATCAGTAGATTGCTGATGCCATGCAGGTCTCCTGCAGACCTGTCATAATATCTGTTTGCCATACGGGATGTACAAGCAAGCAGATATTCTGACAGGAAGTTTCAATGAACTGCCACAGCATTCCACAGTGCCGTGATAGTTAACCTCCCTGGCGGTATTCCCGAGTGTAGCTCGGGGTAAAGTTTCAGTAACACAAGCGTTAACCCGAGCTACACTCGGGCTTACCATGCGGCGATGCTCCGGGATCCCTCGATCACTTACCTTGTCCTGCGCTCCCGCAATGTCCCTCCTGCCGTGTTCCTGGCGATGTAATCCGGCGATGCTGGCATCTGGGTTCTGTCCCCTGTGAGCATCGGGATGTATGGGGGACGGAATGGCGAGAAATTTGAAAATGACAAAAAGTGACATTCACTAAAATCACATAGTAAAACATTACTGTATCAAACCATTTCACATACATTTTGTCCCTAGTGCTTTGTCCTGTGCCCTGCCTGCATTTTTACTGTTCTTTCTGCTTGGAAACTGAGAAATGTCCATGGCGTCCAAAAAGTGTCCCTTTAGGTCAAAAGCGGTTTTAGACCAGCTAGAGAACAGCGATAGTAAATCAGAACCACTTCCAGAATTGAGTGATAATGATTCGTGGGGAAATTCGTCATCAGACACTGAAAACAATTTTGCGACTTTGCTCAGTGATGTGCGAACTTGGCGCTATATTTCAAATTTCAGTGTTTTTGGTTTGATTATGTTATTGAATTAAATTTACTATTATATTATTTTTTAGGATTATTAAAATACAATTTATGATTTCATGTTTCAAGTTTTATTCTACGCGGGATGTTTACTAGACTCTTGTTCGGACAGATTTCAGTGAGTTATTCCTAAGAATTACAGGCCTACAATATAAAACGTCACATTTCCATGCAAAATAATGGTACCGCTTTCAGCACCAAAAATCTGAAATAATCATACCGCCAGGGAGGTTAATTGAAAACTACAATCCCACAGCTGCTAAGGCTTTCGGGACTTGCAGTTCATTCATTCACGGAAGTACGTGCTGTTTTCAAATTTGACAGATAGTATGGGGAGACTTCTCCCCGTACCATCTGTCTGAGGGAGGTATGGCTATGGGAACACGTTACATGTTCCACCCTAAAATCGGGTGTAACATGTTCCCAAAAGTGAACTTATCCTGAACAGGTTGGTGTTACACCAACTCAGACAGAGGGTGTCATTCATTCAATGACTATGCAGTTGATTTGCAGTGGATTGCTATTGATTTACTAAAAGAAAAATACGTTTTATAAATGAATTTTTGCTTTGCAAGGGAATTTAGCTTAGTGAATGAGATAAAGCTCTGATGACTTTCATCATTGCAAGCAAAATTAATGTTTTTTTTTATTTTCCTTGCAAGTGATTGGATATTTTCGGAACCAGGCTACACCATAAGGGAAAACTTCCTTGTGAAGTGAAAATTCTAATGTTAAGTTTACTTATATTAAATAAACCCTATTTGCTCAACCCCATTTGCTCAGAGACTGGTTGGTTGTAGACACTGTATATTTGTTCACACCCATGAAAGCCTTTCTTGAATGGTTGGAGACTCTAAATTTCGTTTTTCAGGCAGACTTACTGAAGCAAGGAAAACAATGCAATTCAGACTCTTACAAAGTAAAGTTATTCATGACCCAAATGTAAATGTCAAGTATTTATAAATATGCAATTTTGAGGAAGCCTGTTCATTTATTTTATGAATGGTGCATGTGGACATCTACTGTAAGTGTTTGACAAATTACACATGTGATGTTCAGTAAATATATTTAATTTTTTATATCATCATCTGTCTTTAGGCTTAGATGATGCTCATATAGCACACATTTTCACATAAGGAGATAGAGCTAGGGGAAAACATTATGAAACTTGATCTAGACACAATAAATTAATATCTTCAAAAACCTTCATTTAGAAAGGTATTCTATTTATTTACAGTAAATGAGATTTCATGATGGGGAAAAGGTACACACATTACATGCCACAGTTCCTCCATCGTAGATGAGGCAGTGTTACCATCTACACTGTCACCCACCTAGCTTTACTTTGCAAGTACTCAGCCTGAAATAAGTCAGGAAGGCTATGGATTGTTTTGGTCGGTGAAGCTACAACTATTGACTTGCCAGCATATGTTCTTTGTGGATGAAGTGGCACTTGTTCATTTAATTCTGCTGTGAATGGAAAGGGTAGCAGAGAATCTAGTATCAGGCTATTTAAGCAGCTATTATTTTAATTGTGAATGTATATTAGGTTACATTTATAGGTAAAGTTGATCCAGGGAATATCCAATTGTCTCTCAGGGGATCAGGAAATATTTTTTTTCCCTGCAGGAGCAAATTGGATCATGCTTTGCTGGTTTTTTTTGCCTTCCTTTCGATCAACTGTGGGTATAGGATTATAACTTTTTTTTAATGGCTGAACTGGATGGACTTTTGTCTTTTTTTTTAGCCAGACTAACTATGTAACTATTTACTGTCGAGCAAAGTTGTAATTCAACCTAAAAGTACTGAAACACTAAAAAGCCATATACCACATGTGTCTTGTTAAATGTATAGTGCTATATTTTGATTATCTCTGCACTCCAATTTTCATACATTCTGCCTTTGAAACTGCTGGCTATTGCCAGCAACACCATCCAAACCATAGGGGGGTTTGCTAAAACTGGAGCATGCAAAACCAGCTCTGCATAGAAACCAAGCAGACTTCAGTTTTTTTTTTGTCAATACTTAAGAAAGAAGTATGGAGTTATGGAAAAAAATATACTCCCATATGTGAATGCAGCATTGCTCTGCTGCTGCATCTGTGAATTGCTGGCTCTGCACTGTGAACTGAGTGTTCAAATGCCGGTGATTGCTTAGTTCTCACCTCCACTATGAGCAGAGAACAGTAACTGTCAGTCACCAGCTCTCTGCTCTGCTACTCCAGCATTCACTGGAATAATGGGCTGTGGTGGGGGTGGGAGCTGCTGGATTTGGCTCTCAGTGCCACACTGATATAGTAGGGATATGGATCAGCTCTGTGAAATTTGCTTTAGCATAATGTTGGCTGAAAACTCGTCCAAGAAATGCAAATTACAGAACAAAATGCACTCTGTGATTCAAAGGAAAAGTAGGGCCAACAAGAGCTTTGGCCATACATTTCATTTAACGAAACAAGCTGAAGTTACAAGCAAATTGGCTACCATGCACAGCTGCACCAGATTCTGAGTGCTGTAGTTTTAGTAAATTCCCCCCTATAGTGTCACTCCATTCCCCTCACACTCTTTACATCCTGTAATGGAAAGGGTAAAGGCCAAAACAGTTCACTTTCACATCGTTTCCAATTGATAAAAGGTCAAGAACGTCTGTTATTGATGATATGCCTTCGTTCTATGCAGAGACTATGATGTTGTGCCAATTCAAATACAGAAAGCTGTAAAAACTATAAGTGCTCAAATCTTTATATAGAATGTGTGGGGGGATTGTTTTCACTTTTCTCCATAGATGGACTCTTGTCATTTGATTTGTTTATTGAGGAAATGAATGTCCACTTTAAAACACCTTTAATCATCACAGGAATTAATGGACCACTCCATAAGAAGCAACAAACCTGACCGTGGCACCCCAATGAAATGTACTGTATTTAATCTTCAAATCCATTCATGTTCAGAAAAGGATGCATATTCATTAGCACTGGTGAAAGCTTCAACCGTCCTAAAATAGTAATTGATACATGATAACATTGTATGCAATTCATATCCTGCATACTGGTAGTTAAATCATCACACAGTGCACATTGGCAATAACTAACATACACAATACATAATTCTTAAAAGTAATTTATAGTCTGACAAGGGAAAAGCTTTCTGCATTTACTCAAAGAGCCATGGCCATAGTTGCATAATGTCATCAATATTCCTGCCTACTCCCTTATATAGCTGATGAGAGCTTAGGGAACTGTCATTCAGCTAAAGTTACTGGATTGGTTTCATGTACAAAGTCATCCCTGTTTTTTCTTGGCTTGGTGAGTCAGCAGTTAGAAGGTATTGTGATTGACAATAGAATTTAATGATTTTTTTTTAGGGATTTTTGTTTCTTTCCTAAAGGACTTGTCAAACAGTTGGGTATATTTGATTATAGGTTATACTTTTTTTTTTTTTTTGCGAACAAGTAGGGGCACTCCGTACCCTGTACTCATTCACATATTGGAGGGAGGGGGGTAGTATATACGGTCCCATATTAAAGGTGAGGACTTGAGGGACCTCACAAATGTTTTTTTTTTTTTGTAGTATTATGGGGGGACTCTATGCTTTTTTTTTCTTGCAGAATTTACAGCAGATATGACATTTACGAGGAAACAATGATGCAGTTTAAGTTGCCAGCACATGAAATTCATTGCCATCTTCTTTGAAAAAACAAAACAAGACCCTCCCAAATGTTCTCCAAAATAAAGAGCAGATTATTGGAGTTGTCTGTGTGCTGTATTTTGTAACAACAAAAAAAAGCTGTTATTGACAGCTGTTAGTCATTTGCGCGTGATTTTAAAACTTTATTCTTATGTCAATGTTAGTGTTGCAGCAGCATTTTCTGTGCATTGCAGAAATGCCCTTCTTCAAGGGAAGAATTAGGACACTTTCCAAGGATATTATTTAAAGGAATTTGACATTTTTAATGTTTCACTTTAAGCATTTAAAAAATCGCTGCTCCTGCCCAAACCGATTTTAAAAAAAAGTTTGCATTGGTCCATGTTCGCCAGCGCAGTGCTCACCTCTATGCACTTTTTTTGCACCCTCCTATTATCTCAGAAAATGGGTATTTGTAATTTGACAGGTTTGGCTCTCTCTGGGGTTTGGGATTTAAACTTCTTTATGGATAAGTTCACCTTTTGCCAAAAAATAATAAATGCACACTTTCTTGCAGTTAAAAAAGTGCATTATTTATTTTTTGTTGTGGGCGCCTGTAAAGCATTGCACCAGCAATCAGCAAATCACTGGTGCTATGCAGGTCTCCTGCAGACCTGTCAGTACATGTCTGCTTGCCCGTACAGACAAGCAGATATACTTACAGGAAGACTCAAAGAACTACCACAGTGCTCACAGAGCTATGGAAGTTCATTGAGAACTGCAAGCTGACATCAGCTAAGGCTGTTGGGACTTGTAGTTTTATCATTCACAGTTCCGCATGGCTGAGTTTTTATAAAAAAATTGACAGCTAGAAGGAAGAGAAGATTCTCGCTAGCTGTCAAAGTGGGGGAGTGGGGGGCAGTCCATTCATAACACGTTACACCCTGAATATGGGTGTAACATGTTATGAAAGTTGAACTTCTCCTTTAACCACTTACCCTCCGGAAGATTAACCACCCTACCTGGCCAGGCCATTTTTTGCTATTCAGCACTGCGATTTTTCAACTGGTAATTCTGCGGTCTTGCAAAACTGTACCCAAATAAAATTTATGTTTTTTTCACACAAATACAGCTTTCTTTTGGTGATATTTTATCACCACTGGTTTTTTTTTTTGTGATATAAACAATATTTTCTACTTTTTGTTATAAAAAAAATATGCAATAAACTCAGTTAGTCATAAATTTAGGCCAAAAT